AATCTTAAGCAAGACCTCTTTCTTCCCTGGCCCTCACAAAGTTCTCTCCCTCCTCCTCCTTCTGTCCTTTCTCCTCCTCTCTACTAGGAGGGTACTAGAAAGTAATGTCTGAAAAGTGGAAGGAACAGGGATTCTGATGGAGGAACTTATTTCTGGAAGCATGCAATTTTAATAATAATAATGACAGCTAAACTCTTCTCTTCACATCAGGCTTCAAATTGAGATCGTGAGCTTTGTTTCTTTCAATTTATTCATTTTGACTGATTTAGTCATCACACAACACATGGCCACTACTGTTCTTAGCTACTGGCCCTTTGGGACCTGTTTTTACAGTACTTTTTTTTCTTTAGTCCTTGGAGGAGGGGGGAGAAAAGTTCCACTCTAAATAAGAGACCAAACTATTACACATTTTTATTCCACATTCCTTGAAGATTTCTCATCTCTCTAGAAATATATGAGTGGTCTGAATATCCTGCATCCTTGTCAGCATTTGGTATTATCAGTTTTGTCTTTGTTTCTGTTTTAGCTGTATGCAGTGGTATCTCACCGTGGTTTTAATCTTCACTTTCTTGATGACTAATGATGTTGAGCATCTTTGAATGTGCTTATTTGCCAACACTATGCCTGGTAGCTCCTTCCAAGATTTCAACTAGCTTCTACCCCTTTCTTCCCAAATAGGTGATTTCAACAGACACCACCTACAGGCATTAACCCTAGGATTTTAAATAGAAGTCTCAGGCTTGGAGAAAAATATATGGAGGAACTAGGGTAAAAAAGGGGGTCTCTTTTGGAGTTTCTCACATACCACATTATGAAAGTGTCCACATATTTCTGATAATAAGAGTTGCTCTAATTCTAAAAATTCTTTTCAATTCTAACTTCTCTAGGTAAAGTGCACATACACACACACACAAGGGAGCAGTTTTTTAAATTAAAAATTGTTTTAGAGTGAATTCACTCCAGTAAAAGTAAAAAGCTAGATCACAGAGGACCTGTAACAAGTTACTGGGAAACTGCCCATACATGCTACATTCTCACAGATATAATTCATATAAAATGAGATGAAAAAATTTATTATCTTTACAATTTTTCCTTCATATTCTGAAACAATGTCTTCATAGTTCTCATTTCCTTTGTTTTTTTAAAAAACAAAACTTCATTCTTAAAGCCTGATTACAAAATCTGATTACAAAAAATCTGATTACAAAAGTCCTTTTGATTCACCAAATGTTTATTGAGTACCTAAAACACTCTGAGCACTAGGTTAGACAACATGGGAGAAAGTATTGAAAAATGAAACATCCTCTCAACCCCTGGAGGGAAATTGTGCTGTTTTGTACCTCAGGCTTATTTGAGGAAACAACTGAAAATTCTCTTTGTCATTCAGTCTTAGCATATGGCGTCTTCGCACGAACTGAGTCCTCTATATTTTTTAATAGGCTTTTTCTCTTTTGTTGACCATCCCAACACAAAGCTTCCTTTAGGCTCAGGCTCACTTCCTCTTTTTTAACAGCATTCTCAGCTTGTATTCAACGGTTTCCTGTTCACATAATTCGAAATGCCCTTGTTTATTATTCTCTACCTTTAAAAACTACAAAGGAACACTATAAAATGTTGTTTGTTTTGCCATATATTCTTAGCCTAAGGAACTAAAAAGAAGACAAAGGAGGGGCGAGGTTGGGGTAAGAGTGAAATCATTATGGTGTATCTTCCGTTTATATTGCATAGCTAGATATGTAACAGGCGGATGATACATACATACATACATTCATGCATACATGCATGCATACATACATACACAGCTTGTTTAAGGAATCTATTTATCTAATTAGTTGACTCAGTGGGAGGAAGAAGGGATTGTATTTAGCAAGAAACACCAGAAGGAAGTCCATTCCTTTCATGAATAATTCTGCACATGCTTGTTTATTACTGAAGGCAATTTTGTTCGTGAGAGAGGAAGATTTGAATTACTTAACTACACAGCTAATTCTTAATTATCCATGTTAATAGAGAGAAGCAATTGCTGATCATCTGAAAGAACAGAAAATCAAAAATTCTTACCATTAATTAGTCACTTACCTCCCTGCAGTCCAATTCCCCCCTCTGTCCCCCACCCAGCAAACAATTTTTGTATATTAGTGAAAATGTTTTCCCGAGGTAATCTCTCCCCCTACAGGCAACGAGCCTACCAAGCTGATGAATCAGATCCCTAAGGAGAGGCTACAATGCCGCACCACCTGTGCACTGATTTACAACAGGGTTCTGGGGGTGGCAAGGAGGGAATGTCCTAGAGACAGAAACATGCATGTTCCCTAGCCAGTGTGTACAGTTGCCTCCTGCTTCCTGGTTTTAGCTCATCTGAGAAGGCTGGTTGTGAGCTGAGATAATCAAGGAGAACTATGTGACTTTGGGTACACTGCTCTTTGAGCCTCAGCTTCCTCAACAGTGAAATGGGGATTATAATAAGGATTAGTGGATTGAACTATTGTCAGCCATATGAGATAATGAATGCAAAGCACCAGAGACAATGGATATCATCGGTGATATCAGCCATTACTATTACTATTATTTTTTTTAAGGTTGTTCATTGTGCAGAGAATCATTGTAAGAATAAGTGGATCATCTCAGCTAGAGGCTGTGACTTTGTCTTAAGGGATTTGATAACAATAAAAGCTTTTGATTTTTTAAAAATACATTCTACCAGATTTCGGTTATCCCACAGTAACCTTTGCCTTTTACTCTTACTTTCCATATTCTTTCCTAATAGCAGAGAAAAAGGTAAGATTCCACCTGGTGCACTGCAAGCTCTGGGCACTCTCCCAGGGGTGGGAATGTATCTAAGCAAGTGTATGAGCTGCTGACTAGGGGCCTTCACCTGTAGCCCAGGGATAGACAAATGATCCCTTCCTGCAGCCCAGCAGAGAGCACCTCCTAGCGTCAGAAGCTCCTTTCAGCTTCTCTTTCTCCAATGCACCCTACCAGAAAGACTGGCTTTCCCTTAAATAAGTTCATATCATTGATACATCTTCTAATCTTGTCACCGACCTGGCAGCTCTATTCTCTTGAGAAAGGCGATTTGGTAAATATCCAATCTCTTTTTTTTTTAAATCCAATCTCATTAATTCTAAGCAGATTTTATCAGACCAGCTTTCAAAGTTCTGGAACCAGTTTACCAGCACCTTTGCCTATGTTAACTATCTGTGTGACATTGGTCAAATTGAGTTTGTTATGCAGTCTGACACAAGCTGTCCCTGAAATTCTGTGAAGATGGTTCCTTCCCTCCCAGACTTTCTAGGGTTCTAGGATTTTAATGGGCAGGGGATAGAACCAGTGGGAAAGGATGCAGTATAAGCAGATGTTTGGAGGGGGTCAATGATGAATCAAAACTGCTTAATACTGATTAGAGTAGGTCTTCTCCTAACCCCATTTTGCTCAAAAGAAAAAGATATTGGCTTGAATATAATGAAGTAAACACTGTGATATTTAACATACACATAATTGAAGTCCCATGGGTTATCTGCTCAACTGAATGATTTTTGCTACTTTTTCAGTGGCCTCCACCCAAGGACCTGACCTTACATGAAAGCCATGCTCCCTTTACTCGCTAGGTGGCAGCAGCACTCAGTTTTGCCACATAGCAACAAGTGGCCTTTCCTTTGTCATTTCTAGGATGATCTCTATTATCCATATGTTAGATTTGGCAACACCTTCATACTTTGTATTTACATTTTTATTTTTCTGAGCAACTAGATAGGTTTAATTCCAATTAAATATTTCAAATAATTTCACAGATTTCAAAAAAAGCATAGGATATAAAGCCAAAAAAGAATGAGAGTAGTAATGGAGCATAACTCTTTCACTTACAGAGGATAAAACAGAACTGGAGTGACTTGCCCAAGGTCACACAAGTAGTTAGCTGCTCAGAGTTCTTAGCTCTCTGTCCTAGCCTCTTCCCTTTTTCTTCTTTTGGGAAATGAATATGCCCAATATTTTCATTTAGTAATTGTGTAGCCTGGGGCAGACTAGTTAACCTCTCTAGGCCTCGAGTTCCTCGTCTGTCATATGGGGATAATAATGATATCTACCACATAGGGTTTTACCAGAATTAAATGAGACTACATGGAAGGGACAGGGAGGCACATCACAGTCCAGAAGGCATGTCACTAAAAGGGAAGGGCAGCACACATAGGTAGGTATGTCACACACAGAGATGTCTGATGGCATTTTGTACCCCAATTTACTATGGCAGAGTCTGATACTGCAGGAGACTGCAATATTGATTATGCCCAAAGCAGGCTATAAAGAGTTAACCCCATAATTGCCCCTTTTATAGAAGCAAGTCCAGCCAAAGCCTACGTGCTGAGGTCAGAGTAACTCGCACCCAAATTCCATTTCCACGACTAAAACCTTCTTACTAGGACAATGTTCTAATTACAACCATATATTTTGTCTATTCTGTTCCTAATTCAAGAATGATTTGTCTTGTCCTTTAGGAGCCTTGCTTACATTAATTTCCATAGAAACCACACACAATCAGTGGCTTGGATTGGCCAGTGCCTTTGTCAGCTACACCGGCATTGATTGTCCTGGCACCCCACTTTCTGTCTCTCTTAGTTCTATCTTTTACCTTTTTTTGCTCAGGCCTGTGTCATACACTGAGTAGGAGATTGGAGCCTACTGCAGAGGTTTCCAGTAATGGTTCAGGGATTCCCCCATATGATACAACACAGTACATACAGTTTTCCTTCTCTTCATACGGGATCGTTAGAAAAACAATCAGGCTATATTCAAGAAATAAGAGGGCCAGGGATTTAGCTCAGTGGTTCTCCCACCTGCCTTGCAAGCATAAGGACCCAAGTTCGATCCCTGGTACCAAAAAAAAAAAAAAAAGGGAAGGGGATGGGTGCCACATGAGAGATATCTAAGGCCTCTTCTAATACAAATGAACTCTGATCCTAGCATGAAGGTACAAGTTGCCTCACTCCAGTTTTCTCCCCTAGGAGACGTGAGAGAGACAGTGTCTCCTTCAGGTGACATCCTGATTAGTCCATCAATCACCCACAGACAACAAAGACCTGATGTAGAAATAAGCTTCCTCTGACAGCCTCTGAGAAACACATCTGCTTCATCAGACCCCTTTGACAACACGGACAAGATTCTCAAAAACAAAAACATCTACACAGGTGAATCTCATTCAAGTGAGCATCTCATTTGCAAGCATCATAGTGTGACTAGCATTAGCCACCAACTTCCTGGAGATTGTTCCTAGGACAGAAGCTACTGAGTCCAGGCCCATAACTACTGGGCCAGGTTCTGTGGCTGGTAGCATCCTATAGAATCATTGTAGCTAAATGAAATCCAAATGATGGTAATGCCTTACATGTACAAAATATCTACATATTTATACAATGTTTTGTTCACTCTTTACAAGGTACTTTGTGATTTTTATCTCATTTGATCCTTGAAATAACACTGGAATCATGATTGCAGGTAATAAGTCACCATCTCATAAATGAGGAAATTATAAAAGGCAGAACAAAATCAAGAACAAAGAGGAGCCGGGCACCTGTAATCCTGACACTCAGGAGGCTGGGATAGGAGGGTCACTTGAGGCCAGGAGTTCGAGGTCAGCCTGGGCAACATAGCCAGACCCCTTCTTAAGAAAGAAAGGGAAAAACAACAACAACAAAGGTCCTGAATTAAAGGGAGTTCTTGAGTGAGTTTATATCACTGTGTGATTCTGGGAAAGTTAAATTATCTTTCTGAACTTGAGTTCAACCTTTGTAAAATGGGCATGAAAGAGTTCACTCCAAGGATTGTGGTGAGAATTAAATAAAATGGTGTGTAGAAGCTGGGATTGGTGGCACACCTGTGATTCCAGTTGCTTGGGAGGCTAAAGCAGGACCATAACTTCAAGGCTAGTCTGGGCAACTTAGCAAGACCCTGTCTCAAAATGCATAAAATTAAAAAGGCTTGAGATATAGCTCAATGGTAGAGTGCTTGCCTAGCATGTGCAAGGTCCTGGATTCAATCCCTAATGCCACAAAAATATATTAGGTAGAAGTAATGGGTTCAAAGGTCAAAAATATGCCTTCTGAGCCAGGCACAGTGATGCATGCCTGTGACCCCAGCAGTAGAAAGGCTGAGGCAGAAGGGTCACAACTTTGAGGGCAGACTATATTACATAACAGCTTTAAGCCCAGTCTGGTGGCCCTGTTTCAAAAGGAAAAAATAGGACTGGAGATGTAGCTCAGTGTTAGAGCTTTTGCCTACTGCCTAGCATCGGTTCAATCTCCAGTATGGAGGAGGAGGAGGAGGAGGAGGAGGAGGAGGAGGAAGAGGAGGGGGGAGAGGAAGATGAAGAAAAAGGAAGAAAAAAGTTATTTACTTATTAAATGGTTGGCAGTTTTAAGTGATAGAAGTCAGACACTTCATGAGCTAAATGTTCAAATTCAAGAACATGGTCATATAGATCCAGAGTCAGACTTTTCTTTCTTTAAAACAAAAGGGAGCAGCAAGGTTTTCTTTTCAGCTGATCATTGAAAATAAAATCACCTGTTTTGTCCAAGACAGAAATTCACAAATGAATTTTCAACATTTGATGTGGTAAAGCGCTTGGAAGTTCACACTTGCATGTAGCTTTTGTTAGGTTTCGCCTGGTCTTGCTGCGGAAACTGCTCATCCTGTTCTGAATCAACATGGCCACCTCAGCTCCAAGATTCTGCACAGAAGAAGGAAGTTAGAAACTCTCTAGGAAAGCGCTAATTGTGTGGAGGGTAGAGGGCTGGAGTAGGTGGGGAAGGGAGTTTCAGCCAAGAAACCTGAAGTTCCTTTTGTGTGCCTGGAAAGAAGAGTTAACCCCCCACCCCTAGTACAATCTGCCATCACTGGCAACCTACAGACACGACAAACTGGTGGTAGTTCCCTGGAGAATAATTTGCTTTGAAACCTCTTTACACCTCTCCCCCATTCCTGAAACCTTATCCCAAGAAGCAATTCCCAAAGGGGCAGGTGGTGGGAGGATAGGAAACTGCGTAAGGTCACTCCAAGCCCCGCTAACGCTAACGTGAAAAATTGGAAACGATCCAAATGTTCAACCATGGTAGAGTGTCTGTAAAAGGTATCCTAAGGACCAGGTAGTATGTTATTTCAGCATTAAAATGTAAGTATGTGGGCTGTATTAAGTGAAAAAGCAAGAATACAATACAGTATAGGTACAAACTTTACAATGACATCTCCTGAGATACGTGTGAATATTAGTATAAAGGAAAGAAAATGAGTGTAGTGGGTAGAACATTTTAATTGAGTCTGCTTTGCCTATTGTTCATACCAAATATGATCTCATTTAATCCTCATGACAGCTAATACTTTTGTTAATTTCTCTATGAAAAGCTCTGCCTGACCTGGTCGAAATGGGGCACATCTGCAATCCCAGCTATGCAGGAGGGCAAGGTAGGATGATGGCAAATTCCAGGCCAACTTACCAAGACTCTTTCAATCAATCAATCAATCAATCAATCAGCTAGCAATGTATGTCAGTACAAGGTCCTGGGTTCAAGTGCTTGTACCACAAAAATCAATGTTTTAAAGCCTTGCCTGGATTTTCATTTGGATTGTGTGTGACAGCACTTCGAAAATGGGATTTAAAAGTACTTGCCCCAGGGCCGGGGATTTAGCTCAGTGGTTTCGCCACCTGCTGTGCAAGCGCAAGGACCCGAGTTCGATCCCCGGTACCAAAAAAAAAGAAAAAAAAGTAAATGGCTGTGACATTTACTATTTGACCTTAGACAAGTCACTTCATCCAAATTGTTTTCCTTGATAAATGATTGATTAAAGGTTAAATCTGAGTGCCGTGGAACTAGCAAGTGATTCATAATTTCAGTTTTCTCTCCGATGCTCCTGAGAATGGAAGCTCCGACTACCTACCAGGAAATGTCCATTAAGGGGTTTTGGAAAGTGCGGTGCCAAATGCCACTGGAGAGAAACATATCCGACCTTCCTACTTTAAAGCAGTACGCAGTTTGAAATATTCTATTTCTGTTGTTCATATTTCTGTGAAGTTTGGAGACCAGGCAGAAAGAGCTTGCTTTCTACCCCACCCAGAGAACTGCCAGAGATTAGGGTTGGAGGGAGAGAAACACACCCAGGAAGAATTGAAAGCTACGCACAGACAGTTAAAGCGAAAACTGTTGAAACCCTGTGCTTCCCAGGCCAAAGGGCAACTTGAAACAGCGCTGTTTTCAGGCAGCATTCCGGCCACCTCCTCCTCGGGGGACACTGCTCCCCAACCCTAGCGCTAGCTGTCCTTCCCAGGTGGAGGTGGTGAGATTAGCCTTTCCTTAACCCGACCTTCTTCAAGGCTCCCATGCCTCCCTCTTCACCCCAAACTGCTGAGGCTCTGGTCTTCTGGCGGGGAATAACATTAGAAGCTGCTTCGGCCTTTGTCTTGGCCTTGGGAGAGCCTTTCTCTTCTTGCCAGATCTATCTTCCAGTAAGGTTGTTTCCATTTGTGAGAATTGAGGAAAGGGCTCAAGCACTTTGATAGCCCATATCTAACTGCTCAGAATGTTTGCTCTGCCTTCTGGCTTAGGCAAGAGGAAACGTGTTTGGGAGAGGGGGTGGGTGGGTCTGTGACTGTACAACTGCCCTTTGCCACCACCTCTAGGGAGTAGACCCCACCTTGTCCCCTTCTGAAGCAGACCTTTTCCTCTCCAACAGCTGAGGGAAGTGGGGGAAGGAAGGGGGTGGGGCAGGAACACAAAGGGGACTGGTGCTCTGTGAAACTCTGCTATTCTGGCTTTAACAAAAGAGGTTTTAAGTATATGAATAGCTCCTGTGTTTATTGCCCCCAAAGAAGACTCTTTGTTAGATAGTTCCTCACAATTACTAATCTTTACCTGAAAACTTGGACTCTTGTCTCTAACTGCACACCTCGCTGCCAGCATTTGAGTTACAAAATGCTCCTGTCTTTATTTGCTGATAACCTGGTGAAATACAGTATCCCCAGCCCTCTGCCCACTAATGCAGACACCTAGAGGCAAGGTGGAGGTGAAGGCTACAAAAGAAAAGGGTTTCCAGTAACTGGAGTTGGGAGAGGAATACAAGGCTTGGAGTTACCTATCCCCATCTGAGCTGTGTAATATACTGTCATTATTAACCGTATTTGCATTTTAAGGGATAGTTCTACTGATTCTACTCATCTTGTAGCATTATTGCCAAGAATAAGTGAAGCAATGTGAATAAAGTATATAATTCAGAGCTTGCCACATATAGTACTGCCTCCTAGTATTAGCTAATATTATGACTACTAACCATTTTATATTGAGCCTGTAGTGGGCATTTTACCTGATCCTCTATACCAACTGATTTGAATAATTAATAAAACAGTTGTAAGAAGCTGTCATATTATCCTCCTTTTACAGATGAAGAAACCAAGGCTTAAAGCTGTGTAGTCCTTAAGTGGCAGAACTGGGACCCCAGCCCAGCTGTATTACGTTCCAGACCCACACTCTTCTCAGCACACTGGGTGGATGGAGGATGCATTAGGGGCCGTCCAAATTAAGCAGTCAGTTACTCTCCTTGCTAGTTTGTTACTAAAATTTGAATGCTTATAATGACAGCATTTCTCCCTGAACTAATTTCCTCCAAATGTCATTTCCTCCTTCTATAAACAGACTGAATACATTCCTGACTCATATTTGAACGAAGTCATTTCACATTTCAGATTTTCTTTTCCCTGCAGTCAGCCCTATGGCAATTCCACAGGCCCAGGGCCAAATTCCCGCTCACAGTGGAGGATGTGTGAATACCATAGGCTAAGAAAATAGCATGAGACCAACTGACAGAGGTCCCCCAAGTGCTGCCTTAGCCCACTATCTCCTGGCAGGCTCTGGATTAAGATATAAATGAAGCATATGGAGATGGGAAAACATATGCCAGGAATATTATGCCCAATATTCTTGTCAAGTGCACACACTGGGTCATCTGTAATCCTGAAGACACCACAAAGAAGGCTACCCTAAAATTTCCACAGAACCAAAATTGATGCTACTGCTTTGTTTCTCATACATTCTTAAATCAGCCTCATCACATATGCCAACATACGTCCAGAAGGAGCCAGAATTGGGCACACCCACCCCATCCCAGAGACAAAGAAAAGAGAAAAGAACAGTTTGTTCCAAATGAACGAACGGTTCCTCCTGGGTCTGCTCCTGTTGAGTTAATTATGCCCAGGCATAATAGTAAATGTCATCATCATCAGCAACAAAAACTTGTTGAACATAAACCCTCTACACAGCATTGTGCTGCACTCTAAGGAAAACACATACAAAAACTCACCATCCAGCCAGGCATGGGGGTATACCTGTAGTCCCAGCTACTTGGGAGGCTGAGGTGGGAGGATAACTTGAGCCCAGGAGTTCAAGGCCACCTCTCAAGTAAGTATACTAGTGTTTGGCCATCTTCCCCCTTTATGTTCTCACCAAGGATTTGACCTCTCATTTAGCTTTTGGCCCAGGCTGCCAAGCATTCTTTTTAGCAGCCCTTTCTTCCTTTGGCTTCTCAATCTATAGGAAAGCTCCTTCCACTCAGAGTCAGATTATCCTGACTTTGAGCAGGCCTCTGGGAAGTGGGTAAAGGGTAAAGATCAAGAGGCAGAGGCTCATGCGCCAAGGTGATTGCGAGGGAAGAAGCAGTGAGAATAGTCTCGAACAGGGCAGGGGGGAGGGGGGACAACTCCTAGAAACCTTTACACAAAGAATGATTGCTAAATAGCCTCTGAAGTGCACCTTTCACAACTTACAACATCTCCCTTCATTTCCATCCTGTCCCTTTTTCTGTTTCATTTGGAGGATATAGTTTTAATTCCAGCTGGAACACACAATGGTTGCCAGTACTAGATCAGCATTCTCACTCTATTTTTCTTCCAAAAGATTGTTTGGGCAGCCGCGCATGCGCATGTGCGTGTGTGTGTGTGTGTATGTGTGTGTGTGTGTGTGTGTGTGTGTACCATAGAGTACTACATAGGGTGTCAGAAGATTTAGGTTCCAGCAATGGAGACTTGAGTCAACTCTTGCTTCACAAGAGAATGAAAGAAGTAGGTGGCCTTGATGATCCTTACTAGCTTGGGCATTCTGTGGTCTGTCATTAAGTGTAACAACTGGAAACCAAAGTCACCAAGGTTATGTGTCTCTTGTGGCAGCAGAGAAATATGGTCTACTTATCTCTTGACTCAAAGATGACCCTCATTTTTTTCTTTTTTTTCTCACCTTTTACCTGAAAAATCTCCTTGAGCCTTGGAAGGACTGACCTTTGGGATAACCTGAGCCTTAGAAGTTTTACTCTACTTTTTTTGAATCTTTAGCCCCCAACTGTATGTAGAGATGATGAGAATCCATAGGCGAAATCTGCTTTGGCTCTTGGCTGCCCATGTGAGTAAGCTGACACTATGGCCTCTAGAGAGTGTGCACACGGGTCACTTCATACACTCCAGCCCTTCTTCCTCCCAAAGTGCACATTCTTTAAGCTTTGAGCTCACAAAGAAACAATGAGGTTTACAGTGCAGTTATTCAGCTGCACAACTGTATGAGCCCACTGACATTTGAGTTTTGCAAACCAATTCTCAAGAAGACCCAGGGTAAAGATAGATTTGTAACCATTAAAAATTGTTTCAGCTTGGGTCTCAAAGCCTTAATGATCAAAGACTTTTTAGAGTGATAGGAGTTGATGATTCCTGAAGTGCAATATATAAATATGGATGAAATTCCTTCCATCCACACAGCTTCCAACATCTATATCAGTACTCAAAGCAACAAACTGCCCCTCTGAAGCATCTGAATTCAAAGCAGGATAAAGTGGGGGCTACATATCTTGGGTAATGGGATGTGGTCTCCCTCCTCTCAATTTGTACCAAATTCCCTGGGAAAAAAATTAGTAGGAGTGTTTTCTGTCTTTCATTCCCTGCATGGGATCTGCATGGCTTTACTTTCCCCCTCCCTCATCTAAATAGCTCATTAGAAAACAGTAGTTTGGTTTGTGTATGCACTGTCGTGTGTGAGGAAAAGAGAAGAAAAATCTTGTGTTTTGTATCAGGCATCTCTGCTGCCCCTCCCTGTGTGTCATGTACCCCCCATCTGCCTGTATTATGATGCACTTCCCTCCTTATGTTGCTCATCTAACGTCATAGTGGTACCTTGGCTTTCCATGTATCCAAGGGCAAAGATTCTGCCCACTCTTGGTTAAATAAATAAATAAATATCCATGATGCACATGACACTAGATCTGTATTAGCATTTCTAATATGTCACAGTATCAACATGTAATGGTATTATATGCTCCACTGTAGTTGACATCATCTCAGACGTTATAGAGTACCCTTCCTTACAAGTGTGTGCTATACAAATAACACTGATAGAATGAAAAACTCTAAGATTCTGCATCTTAAATCATTCTGACTCCTCTTTTCTGTTCACTTTCTCCCATCTGAATTTTACCAAGTTTTAGCTCTAACAGAAGTCCCACCGTGTCTTTAAAGGGCAGCCCTTGATATTTTATGCTTTTTGACTCCTATGAACTTCCCTTATATTGCAGGCCTGTATTTAGAATAAGAAGGCACAGCCCATGTTTGCTTTACTTTATTTGAAGTCAAGAAAGAAAATGAAGACATTTTCTTGTCCTTTAAAAATTTTAAATCTAGATTCTACACCCCAGTGGCCACCCAAAATATTTTCATCTCTTCCTCCTTTCAGTACTCTCTTTCACTCATTCGACTGTATTCCTTATCAAATACAGAGCATGGCAAATGTGATTCTTTTTCCTTTACACATGTATTTGATTGGGACTGAGACTTTCTAGAAAGAGGCTGCTCAATAGTCATATCTGTCTATCTCCATTGCCAGACAGATATTAAGCTAAGGCCTTTAAAGGCCCTAAACGCTGAAAAGATTACGTAAGGTTCTTCCCTATATGTAATTTCTAATAAAGTCTTATTTTTCAAAGTAGTGGTGTTTACAAGTAAGCTGAATACAAACTTCCTATATTACAAAAATACTACAGAAGAGTTGAAACAATAGTAAAATGAACTTCATGTAACTGTCTCGATTTTTAACATTTTGTAATATTTGCTCTTATCTGTTTTTCCTCTGAAATACTTGTCGGTATGTTTCAGACATTATGTGGCTTCACTCCTCATTTCTTCAGCATTTATTTGCATTTATTTAAGAAAAAGGACGTTTTCCTATATAATTAAAATGCCATTCTTACAGCCAAAACTCTGACCTTGATATAATATTACAGAGTTCATATTCAAAATTTCCCAACTGTCCCAATAAGGAATGCCCTTGAAAGCTATTTTTCAATCCAGGATATAATCAAAGATCACACACTGCATTTGATCTTCTTTGCCTCTTCTGTTCTAGAAGACTTCCCTGGTTTTTTCAGTCTTTTGTGACAACATTTTGAAGCATCCAGGCCATTTGTTTTGTAGAATATGCCACAGCCCAGATTTGTCTAAATGTGCTACTTCTGTAGGTGTAACATATCTTGTAGTGCTTTTCATTTGTCTTGACTATTAAAGTGTTTGAGTATTTAAAAAATAAATTTATGTATATGCTATTTGTGTTTTCTCTCCTGTGATAGGCCTGTTTATGCCTTTTGCCCACTTTTTAGAGGTTTTTTATTTTTCTTGTGTACTTTTAGATCTCTGTACATTCTGGATACTAATCATTAATAAAGTATCTAGGTCTCAACTCTCATGAAACAAGGCTGATCACACGAATACCAAAGCAGGATGTTTTGGATTCAAATTCCAGTTCTGCCACTTATTATGTGACTCTGGACAAACGATTTAAACTCTCTGATTTAGTTATCTCAGCTCTAAAATGGGGGCGATGATGGCACAAGCCTCCTAGCCATAATAGGGAGATTAAATGTATTCATAAACGTAGTGCAGTTAGAAGAGTACCTGGCACATAGTAACCAGCGTCTGCTATTATTAGCTTCTTCCATTTTATGGCTCCCATGTCATTTTGAGAACTCAGAGAGCTCATCAAAATGTTCATCCCACAAGTGATCTCCTACCCCAGCTGGAGGTCTCCTGCAGTCCCAACCATGACAACCTTTCATCAAAACACACATTAATAACCGTACAGGCAATGATCCACCTACACAAGCGCGCATGAAATGATGTACCTCCGGCCAGTATTTTTCCCTTGTGGATGGAAAAAACATTTGGCGATTTTTAAGGGCCTCCAGCCAAATCTGGAGAAATTCATTCTAAGTCCTCTCTTTCACCTTAAAAGCCCACAAACACCGTGATGATTCTGCAGTCAACTTTCAGACCTAACAGTGCCATGATTTGTTCCGCAACCACGTAAGAAAGTGTCTCCTCATGAATGGGGACCGCCACACCGCACAGCAACCTGTACCCCTCCCAGCCTCTCCCTGAGTCTGTTCCCTCAACTTGGACCTTTCTTTGTGTAGTATTTCAAAGATTAGCAAACCCATGATACAAATGCACATACAGGGTACTTCATAAATGCTCCTTAACTGAATGAATGGGTGGGTAAGGATGGAATGTTACTGAGTTGCTGGGTAGGGTGATAAAGGAAGAGAAGAGACATTGGATGGCCAAGCAGGTTGCTGATTGGCTGGCGCCCAGGATGCAAGGGTAGAACATGGAACCTGGGAGAAGGTTTATTTAGAGAAGTTAGTCGCTATCCCGCCAGTGCAGCACTGGGTGAAGAGCCGCTCTGCCTAGGCTGAAGGTCCTGAAGCTTCGTCCAGGCCCTTCGGGCCCCGCCACGCTCCACCCCCCCACCCCCCACCCCCCACCCCCGTGGTCCCAGCCGCGGCCCCGGCTGAGGCCGCTTTAGCGCCTGCGCACTGGGGCCCCAGAGCCACTGGCGCTTCCCAGCTCGGCTCCGAAGATGGCGGAGCATGCTGTCCGCGGTGGCAGCGGCAGCACATCCTTGCGGGGTCTGAGGGAACGCATGGGTGAGCGGGCCGGCGGCTCCGGGTGGAACTCGGGCCGGCGCGGGAGGCGGGGTTCCGAGGCCTAGGGGACCGACGGAGCGGCGCGGCGGACTCCTGAAAACTTTTTTCCGGAGTTGCCGCGCACCGTCCGGTCCTCCCTTCACCCCCGCAGGAGCCCCTGGGATGGCCCGGGGGGAGTCGTCGGCCCGGGGCCGGAGGGAAACGGCCGAGCAGCGTCGCCCGCGGCCTGAGTCCCGCTGCCAACCGCGCAAATGCCGCTGCCAAGCGCCGAACCCCCGCGGGCGGGCGGGGCTCGATGGAGCTAACGGGCGCGGCCGGGACCTCGGACGCCGCTGACGGCCGGAGCCCCGCCTTCTGCTGGGGCCGGCGGACGCCCGCGCGATTGCCCCGCCGAGCCGGGCTGTCCGGGAGGAGCGGGCGGCCACTGCACGGCTTCCAGGCTTGGAAAGTTTGTGCTTTCGCTGGTCCGCGGCGGCGTTCACACCCTCTTGGTCTCGGTCCAGGGATGAAAGAGCTGGGGGAAGAGGGCTTGAAAGTTGGGGGGGGGGGGACTTGACTGTGCATCTCCTGATTTGTCTGCTGTACCACATGACTTGGACAAGATGTCACCTTCAGTGGGACATCTTGCAGTCCCTAGGCTGAACTGAAGGAGAATCAGCACTTTGGAGTGTTTTCTTCTCAACAGATCCCATCATCAAAAAATACTCCCCCCCTCCAAAAAATTGTTAATTTAATCAAATTTGGGAGCGCATTGCTTGGGTCAGGAGACTGCTCCACTACCTGAGCGACGTAGTATTTCTTACTTGTGGGAGGTTGCTTTTAGCCTGCTTTCAGGCTAATTCCCGCTACTGAATAAAATGGTTTTGACTTTGATTGAAATCCTTAGGGAATGTTCTCATTTGCAATTAAAGTTAATTTAGACTGAGATTGGGAGGCCATATGTTACTGAAGAACACTTTGAATCACTCTCCAAAGTATGTGTCAGAAGCAAATAGATTTTCACCATGCCCAGGGGAAAAGAATAGTGCCCCTCTCTAGTTAACCTAGAGAGAGAGCTTGCAATGGATTGTTGCATTGCTTGTTGACACCTAAGGTTGTCTGATAATTTATTTCATTGATTGAGATTAACCAGTATGTGTTCCAGTATTTTGAAAAGAACTGTGGTCTGGATATCTTCTAAAAATTTTGCATATTGAATGTTAAAATGTAGTTTAAAATTACTGGGCAGTTGTGTGACTGTACAGCGCATCAAACTAAAAAAAAAAAAGCCATTACAAAAAGGCTTAATCTAGAACCCAGTTTACATCCTTCTTCTCCCTTTCCTATTAGCAATTGAAAACAGACTTTAGACTTTCACAGCACCAGCTTGATTGGAACTGCTGTCTTGGTCTCAGCTTTTTCCTGAAGGGGTCAAGGGGACAGTGAAATGCTTTTGCCACAAGGTCAATTTCATCTGGTGGGAGTCTGGCTGCCTGAGTTAAAATGGTGTCCTGAACAAATAACTTACATAGGTGCACAATAGTCTACCTGTACTTATTGTATTCATTTATGTATGTATCCCTTAGTGTATACAGTATCTATTACATAAATGTGTACATCTCCATTTACTGAGCTGTTTCCTATGTCTAGTACTGTGCTAAGGCTAAGGAACATGCTTATTTTAACAAAACACATGTTTCATATTTATACAGGACTTTTAAAAATAGTTATTTGAACATTTCAACGAGATGAGCATAAGAAACTTTGCCACTGACTTGTCACTTTTCCCTTCTTTCTTTTCTAAATGCACACACAATTTCTCAGTTTAGAATGTTATTCAAGAAATACTTTCTGCAAATGCAGAAAAAACTACAGAGATTGAGAGCCAGATCATTGTAGAATTTTAGAGCAGAAGAAACCTTAAAGTTAGTTAGAAAATCCTAAAAGAAAGAAAGGAAAAGAAAACAAACATGAAAGGAAAAAATGGAAACAAAACTTTTATATATAAGGAGGGAAGGGGAGGTTGAAGGGAGGGGCGGGGATTAAGAGGAATCAAGATATACCATGTACAGGTACAAATTCCCTTTGATGAATGTGATTGTTATGTATATTTGAATTGTACCAATAAAATTAATTTTTAAAAATCCTGAGCAGCTTCTGCAACTTAAATGTGTACTACAATGGGGAGCTTAATATTTTTCCAAAGAGCCATTCTGCTGTAGACGGCTCTAAATGTAGAAAATTCTGCCCATTTTTTTTTTAAATTTTAAAGACATGCTATTTTGGTTTGGATTTAGGGGTCTTCAGGAAGTTTTAGCCTTCTGGGGAAGATAAGTGTACTTTATAGAATTGTTGCAAGAATTGTATAAAGTACTACAAATGAACTTTGTAAGTGGTGAAGTGATATATATTACTTGGCATGGCTGTTTTTAGAAAAGTACCATAAATATTAAGATTCATAATTCAAGTTTAATAATAAATTCACACTTTCTTTATCTCCAGGCAAAAGGTAACTTTTACCTTAATATGGGTTTAGAGTTAGGATAAGAACTCCAGAACTCCACCTTACTGTTAATGCTGTTAATTTTATATATGTCTGCATTGATTTATACCTCTAACTGAATATTAATTAAATCCTTCCTTCAATAAAGTTAAATGAAATATTCACTCAATTAAGTCCAGACATAAAGGCTTTCTCCCATTGCCTGTACATTTTAAGTAATTTTTAAAGCCTATCCATTTCGTGAATGTATTTCTTGCCAGTAGGAATTTGGATACAATGGTCTAAAAAGATTTGATATTCCCACATTAGCCTTTATATGATTTGCTTCATTATTCCCACCACAACTACTTCTAAGGTTATCTGTGTTTAATAAAATCTTTAAATAATTTGGTAAAATTGTGCATTTTGAAATTGTCCTTATGATCAACTAAGTTGTGTCATATACAGACTACCATCCTTAAGGCTTCTAAACAGGAGAACTAAATGTGCAAAAACAATACTACAAGGCTCTTTATTGTTTTTCTGTGCTCACATAAATGTAAATGGAGGAGTATGTGGGAAGGTTTAATTCATAGACTGTATTAAAGAATTTTTGTTAATACACTAATCTCAAATCCAGAGGATAAATGTGGTCCACACAATTGCTAGTAGTTGAATTATTAAGGAAGCTGAGAAGAGTCTCATCTTGAAATTTAGCTAGGTCATAGATTGTAAAAAAAAATATATATAAAAATCCTTTCTCTTTTGAAATGATGATCCCTATGGCAACAATTGTGATGTCATTTTCAAGATTACACCATAAATTAGCTTCCAGAGAGCTTAACTTGGTGGCAACTAAAATCTCAGCATCCGTTCATTTTGTAAGTGTGAGGATAGGCCCTCTGGTCCCTTAATTATTTTAACTACCCATCTTTAACTGTTATATAAATCATAGGAGTGTATTTCCTATACTTTTACACAAGAATAAAACAAGAGTTTTCTATCGTCTTTTCTATACCTGAGATGCCTAGGGGCATCTTTAGATATAGACATACATGGAAGTAAAGAGTTCAGAGATCCACTATAAAATACCCATGTATGTCCTGTAGTTTTTCTCACTTGCTCTCAAATTATGCTCTCCTAATCTTACACATCAATCTTACTGATGTCTTATTAATTGCTTTCCTGCTGAGTATGCAAGATATGTGTTAGCAATTTTTTAAAAAATGTTTTAGTTTTTTTTAAACAAATCATTTATTGGTAGATTATATGTGTGTGTGTATGTATATATGTGTGTGTGTATATATATATATATATATATATATATATATAGCATTCCTCAGGGAATTTGTACCTGTACATGATATATCTTCTTTTTTTCCCATTCCCCCCCTTCGACCCCTCTTCCTTATATACAAAAGCTTTGTTTCCATTTTTTTCCTTCTATTTTCTCTTTTTTTTCCTTGTCTTTTCTTTCCTTTCTCCCTCCGTTGTTCCCCTTATCAATTTGTATTATTTCTACAGAGAGTGATATAATGTCCTTGGAGATTCCTTCTTGTAGACATGGGGTCACCCTACACCTTCACTATTCATCAGAATAGAGCTTTGGGGGGCTAGGGATGTAGCTCAGTGATAGAGCTCATCCCCAGAATACTAGAGGTCCTGGATTCACTGTATATATACAACTACAAATGCCTGGACCCCACAGAGGACAAGATCAGGCATTGCTAATGTTTTTAAAGTAACTTAGATGACCTAGTGTACAACCAGGGTAGAAAGCCCCAATCTAGTTTATAAATGCATTCCTTAATTTTGAGCTCTGTCTCTGAGGATTCACTGTTAAAACTCTGCTTTCAGATTCAGATCCATAACTTCTTGACTTCTTATTTTCTAAATTCCCATGTATGGCAAAACATTTTTTCCATTTCTTTGCCAACTCAATTTTTCTAACACTTGGTGTAATGTCTTATTTGAGATATTTGAGGAAGCTATTAATCATTGGGTTCCTACTTATCCACAAGCTTGTGCTGCCACTGCCACTAGCAACTCTGATTGTCCTCATATCCACAAATATCTTGCCATATCCACAGTAAATACTTTGAGTTCTTCACTAAAGTATTGTCAAACATCATGCATATTTAGCGCATCTTTGTTGTTCACCCACATTAAGCAGTCATGATTTTACTTTATGGAAGTGATCTGACCTTTTATTATCAAAGACATAGTTGACTGAGGTTTGCCAACTCCCATATTAGGTGTTTGTATCTTTAATATCTAATCCCTTTCCTTTATCTCCCTGTATTGTAGTTGCTGAGGCGCAAGCAATTGCCAAAGAAAGACGAAGTCAGAGTGGAGTTTGTTCTTTGCCCGCTCATTCACCAAATATAAGATCAACAGTTAAACCTGGTATAATTTCTGTATATTTTGATAGATTTCAGAATGTCATATCTTTAAAATTTGATGTCATATTAATGTCTAACTATATATTTTTTTAAAGTTATAGATGGCTCTGTGCTTAAAAATGATATGAAACAAAAGTTAGCAAAGGAGCGCAGAGAAGAAAGAAAAAGACAAGAAGAAGGTATGTTTTAAATTTTCTTAATGAATTTTGTATAAAGGTTATATATTTCTGAATTAGTTTTACTTTTTTCTTATGTTTATATGATAGATTATGACTTCTGTTCTATAAGTGTGTTGGATTGGATTAAAGCTATTTTATAAATCAGATTTTTAAAAACTCATGAAAAAATCTTTGACTAAATTGTTTTTGAAGAGGTAATTTGTTACCTTTAATTTTCTGAAAACTAAGGAACAAATTTTTTTAACATTTGTAAAAAGAAATCAAATACGTTTTCAGTAAAAGATAATTCTTAAAATGAAAATAAAAACAAGTATCTTTTTGCTGATTGCTCTGATTCTAAAGTGTGATTTTTTTATAAATTAGGACCTAAAAGAATGATCTTTCAGTCGGGCATGGTGGCACAGACCTGTAATCCCAGCACTTGGGAGGCTGAGGCAGGAGGATCACCATGAGGCCAGCCTGAGCTACATAGTGAGTTCAAGGCTGGCCTGAATTACATAGCAAGATCCTGTCTCAAGAAAACAAAAAAATAATCTTTCTCCAACTTGAAAGCATACTTTTCAACTATGTGTCTTTCTCCTTTACTCTTCTGAAGCCACTGACAAAACTAGTGTTCAGCTTTATTCAAGTTCATCTTTGTTTTTATGGAAAGGGTGTGGAAAGAGAGAGTACTGTCTTAGGGAGAATATTTTACAGTTGCATAGATACTCTCTGGGTTTTAGTGAAGGAAAATTTGAATATCGGAAAACATGCTCGTCTGTAATACGGTATATGGCTAAATCCATTAATGTAAACCCTACAAGTAGACTTGGAAAGAAGCTTGCTAGGAGAGAGGACCAAAGCGTACATTCTGGCCATGTATTTTTTCAATGTGAATTTTTAAATATAGCGTATTAATCTGGAGGAGTTTGACTTCACCTTAAGCTGGCAAAAATATCACGAGTGAAAATATTTCTTTTTAATTTGGAATTTCATGTGGACAGAATGAGAGTCATCTTGCCTAAGAGACCCCAAGTTCTCCAGAGTGAAATGAACACCCCATGAAATATAGTTCACTTATATAATAAATCTTTAGTTACTATTACAGGTTATGTTATTTTAAGAAGCAGAATGAGATGTATTAACTTTTCCCTTCTATGTGTGTAATGTGGAAAACTTAAGTATTTTCTTGGCTCTTACACTTTGAAAATGTATTTGGAATATTTCAGCCAGTAAAGAACTACAACTACTTGAAAAAGAAAGAAAGGCCAAGCTCCAGTATGAAAAACATTTGGAAGAAAAGCAACGAAAGCTAAGGGAACAAAAAGAGAAAGATGAGCGGCGAAGAATATCTGCAGAAGAAAAAAGAAAACAAAAATTAGAGGAAGAAAGGGTTCGTAATTGTATAGCCTGTTCATCTGATGATAGACACTGTGTTGTCTGGGTCCGAGGTGCTCTCTCATAGCCCTTCTAGGCCTTTACTGGCCCTGTAGAAAGGGAAGGAGTCCCTGCTTTTCTGGCTGTTGGTCCTTTACTGGTAAGGTCCCACCAACCTCAGGAGAGAGGAGGAGCCTTGCAGACCTTCAGGATGTGGCTCATGGGATGCCTGCAGTCTGAGGTTTGTTCTGAGCGGTTCCACTGTAAGCGGCATTCAGTCTTGTCCCGCTGGCTAATGTCTAAGGGCAGGCCCACCTCCTCTCCTCCTCTCCTCCTCTCCTCCTCTCCTCCTCTCCTCCTCGACAGACCCTACAGACCCTTCTAGCTGATGTCGCCCAAGCCCTCTGAGTCCTTAGCCCGATCAGAGCACTCACTCTTCCTTCCCTGGCCCTTAGCTCTCTCTTGTGTGTCCTAGAGTCTCTCCCTCCCTGTCCCAGTCTCTTTGTTTTCCTCACAGAGCCCCTCTGGACCTGTGATTCAGTCAGCGTTCTGCCTCTTGTTTCATGGCACTGTCCTCTCTTTTCCTCGCTGGCCGAGTTTTTGGTGTCATCGGCAAGCTGTTCGTATGAGTCAGTGGCTTCATTATGCCCTTTCTTTTGCCCTTCTGTGCCTCTTCAGTCAGTTTGTCTTTTGTTCTTTATGCTGGGCATCTGGCTACCTATCTCATCGTCAGTACGATTCTTTTTGACACTAAATATTTCTGTTGTAGGGCATTCCACTACTTTACTGTGCATATGTTTGGCCCCTTCTGAATCAGGCATGTGTTCTCTGATGCCAGCCCTGTCTCTTTGTTCCAGTGACTCTCAGGTGTCCCTAAATAAGTCTTAAGACTGTCTGACTCTGACCTTTTTCTGCATGATGCAGCTCGCTTTTCTTTGCTTAGCTTTCTCTTTGTCTTAGCTTCTCTTTGCTTTTCCGTACCTTTGGACTCTGCCTGCTGTTCTCTCACAATGTATGTCTCTGTCTCTGTCTCTGTCTGTCTGTCTGTCTCTCTCTCTCTCTCTTATGTATCTGTTTATTTATTTGAGTACTGGGACTTGAACCCTTTTTTTCGTTTTCAGACATGGTCTCACTAAGTTGCCCAGGCTGAGCTCAAACACGTGATTCTCCTTCTTCAGGCTCCCAGAGTGCTGGGATTACAGGCTTGTACCACCATGCATGGCTTCCCTCTCTTATTTTCTATTGCTCTAATTTTAGTATTTCTTTTTGTCTCCTTTTCTCTTTGGTTCCACTTTTCCCCAAGGCATTTCTCTGTCTTTCTCTCTAAGAAAGACACTTTTCCTCCTTCCTGGTATACACAGTTGCTCGAACAGGCCACTGTGCCCCATTTGGAGATCTCCCTTATTTTAGGATGACTCTTCTGTCATTTCTCCCCTGTCTATGGTCCACTACCTCTTCCCCTCTGTCTTTCTGAACTTCTTCTATGGCTGGTTGTGCTCTGTGTGCTTCATGTTCCAATACTTGCTAAAATCTCATTCAGAATTTCTGTCACTTTCCGTCATCCTCTGTGAAACATTTCTGTATTTTACTTCTCAGTGATAAAGAGATGAAAGCCAGAGGGGCAGGGAGGGCAAAGGCAAAAGGAGGAAAGGGAAGGAGAGAGAAGAGGTAGGGAGAGGAGAAGGGAGGGGAGAAGGGAGAGGGGGAAGGGAAAGAATAAACTAAAGACAGCTTGAGAACCAAAAATGTAAAATAGAAAACTGTACAGAATGAGGGAGAGTCTCCTGGGAAGAGACACATAGTCCTAAGGACTGAGAGAAAAAAGAAGAACCATCTCAGTAAAAGAGGATCCCAAGGGAGAGAACAAAGATGTAATAAAATGCTACTGCAGACAGAAAAGGAACTGGGGACATGGTGGGAGAAGGGGCAGAAAGGCAGGGAGAAAAGGCAAAAGAGAATCCCGGAGAGCTATTGTGAGAGCGTCCCAGACAGAGTAGGAGCATGGAACACTGAGTAGGCTAGGCGTGGAAGAAAAGAGAGGAATTCTGGGGAGCAGAGAAGGAAGCGTGCATGGAGACAGGAGATATATATGACACAGGGTAGAGACTTACATAAGAGGTGGGAGTGGTCACAGATGCAAGAAGGAATCTGAAAGAGAGCACAGAGGGTCAGTGCATTTGAATCCAGTAGGACAGAATTCTTATGAATCAGATATATTTTAATAGGGGAAGATTCGTCTCTGATTGTACTCTATTATAGTTCCAGGGTTTCTAAGTAATGTAGAATAATTCATTTTAGAAAGTTTAATTTTCAAATATTGCCATTAGAGAAATTTTGTTTCATTTTCCTAGTATTTTTATCTTTACCCTCAGAGAAATGGTGAGGACATTATAAGAACAATGTTGCTATGAAACCATTGTTGTTAGGGAAGAATACAAAATGTCTAGCCCTGAAGTTGATGTGCTTTCTCAAATATAGTCCATGATGTGTCACATTACAGGGTTGAGAAATATCTGAGCAAAGAACTCATTTGTGGATAAAGTGTTTGCTGTTTTGATTTGTTTTGATGCTGGGGATTGAAGCCAGGGCCTTGCACATGTTAAGCAAATGCTGTAGCAATAAGCTACATCCCCCATAAGTCGCATAGCAACTAGTGAATGGAAGCAGCTTCTTTTTTTTCTTTTTTCCTTTTTTCCTTCCCCTCCCCTTCCCTCTCCTTCCCTTCCCTTCCCTTCCCTTCCCTTCC